TGACCTTCGGGTATCCTAACTTTGTGGATCGGGGTCCGGGCGGATCGGTTAGAGCTACCAGCGATCTAAGCGAGGTCATAAGAAGCAAACATGCTTGCCAGGGTACAGCTCCCTTCGCCGCACTAAGGGATACAAACCACAGATTGCAATCAAGAAGGAGTGATTGAAGACACTGGCTAGAACAAAGAAGGCGTTATCGTCTCGCGGGTAGTCGCAGCTACCGAAACTCGGTTACAGTGCTGGACCAGTCTCACTGGCTTTTTGCCCTTGTATGGCATTTATTACCCAGACAAGAGATTTAGAGACTCATGAGATGCCGCCAAAGTTTGCAACATATTGCATTTGGAATGAGAATCTCCCTTCAATATCCACCAAATCGAAGACCGTAACCCTCACAGGTCTGACATGTTCCTCATGTGCGTATATAAGAACGATCGATCAGCCACTGGTCGACCTTGGATGTAGTATCGATTAGCCGCTAAACTTTCGACCAGAGCTCAACGACGCAACGTATCTAAACATGAGACTCTCAGGTGTTTTCCTCGGCCTTGTTGCTGCTGTGTCTGGCCATACAATTTTCCAGAAGCTCTCCATTAATGGAGCTGATCAAGGATCATTGAAGGGGGTTCGCGCGCCTTCGAGCAACAACCCCATTCAGAATGTCAACGATGCAGGTTTCGCCTGCAACAACAACATCCAGTACAAGGACAACAATGTTGTGTCTATCGCCGCTGGTGCAAAGGTCGGTGCTTGGTGGGGACACATCATCGGAGGTGCTCAGGGCACGAACGACGCCGATAATCCCATCGCGGCAAGCCATAAAGGTGAGGTCCTCAGACTCAACCTTCAACCATCACATTACGCTCTGTCTTGAATCATGGATAGCCCGAAATACTAACGTGGGTGTAATCATAGGTCCCATCGTTGTCTACCTGGCCAAAGTCAGCAACGCTGCTAGCACTGGCACGGCGGGTCTCAGCTGGTTCAAGATTGCCGAAGCCGGCCTGAGCGGAAGTACATGGGCGGTCGACACCATGATAGCAAACAACGGCTGGCACTACTTCACTCTTCCCTCGTGTGTAGCTCCTGGGGACTACCTCCTGCGCGTCGAGATCATTGCCCTTCACTCTGCCTCTACACAGGGAGAGGCTCAATTCTACATGGAATGCGCCCAGTAAGTTGAAGAAGCATTGTACAAGAAACGGAGAAAATTGACGAATTCTAACACCAACTACTCTAGAATCCGGGTTACTGGCTCAGGCACCAATGCCGGCTCCAACACTGTCAAGTTTCCTGGCGCTTACTCCGCGACTGACCCAGGCATTCTCATCAACATTTACGACAATTCCGGGAAGCCAACAAACGGCGGCCGTTCATACAAAATCCCGGGCCCTTCGGTGCTCAGCTGTTCAGGCTCTGGAAGTTCTGGAAGTGGCAATGGCTCCCCTGCTATTTCCAGCTCCGCTCCTGTGTCGAGCTCCCCTCCATCCAGCAGCAGCGGCAAGACTGTGGCCTTGTACGGGCAATGCGGCGGGCAAGGATGGACTGGCGGTACGGCCTGCTCCCAGGGAACTTGCAAAGTCTCGAATCAGTACTATAGCCAGTGCTTGCCTTGAGTCTTGGATCTAGAGAGATCTAGCTGGCGCTTTGGAAAGAATGGTGATGGCTCTAGGTCTTATGGGTTCCAAGCCGCGCGCCTGATCACGGACATGTGCTGTCTCAGCAAAATCGACTTGTAGCCGGATACTGCTTATAGGCCTTATTCTAACCAGGAACATGTGGACGAGACTTAACAATAAGTAAATGATCTACCCTGCTAAGTGTGCCTGTCGTGTGCCATGCTTCTCACTATATAGCATCGCAACCAATGGTAGAGTTCCTAAGTTATCGAAGACCCTTTATGTCACTAAAAGAACCGGATAAATCAGCTACTCAATACTGTATCCATACCAAGCATCAAGCCTGACATTCAGATGGGCAAACTGCTTTGTATCCCTGCGGGCTGCGCTCTTTCGAGACTCTTCACCGTTGGAGTATGTGGAGACACGAGGTTGAACGAAAATCACGCAGTGGACCCAACGTAGACGCCCTAGGGCTTCAACCTCGTCAATAACAACTGGTCGGTTAGCTCAGTTGGTTAGAGCGTGGTACTAATATTTCATCAGAAATGTCCTGTAATGCCAAGGCCGGGAGTTCAAGCCTCCCACTGATCATTACCTTTTGCGTTGGACACACAGTATGCTGTCTAACTCTTGGATTTCACTTTTGAGACGATCTTGAAAAGTTTTGATTCACTAGAATCTGTGCTGGTGCGACCAGCGTTTAAACCCGGAACTGTGGAGACGGTGGAGCACGCACCCGGATCGGCAGTCTTGTTTCTCGCCGGTTCTCGCCGAGTCGTATTTCTTCCGCTTGAGGACGTCGGCCGGAACTGTCCACACGCTGCATTGATGATTTCAGGGAAGTGAACCTGCTGCCTGCGGTAATCCCTGATGGCATATCGAACAGTGTAAGACTAGACAGGCGTGGGCGTTCTCTCGGCGCCGAAGAAGACCGGCCGCGGCTTGAATGTTTATGAATGCACATTCCACCCGGCTCCCGGCGCCGGTGGCATACGTCGCCGCGGCGTTCATCTCAACATGAGCAACAATGCATAAACGTATACGCGCACGAGCCAGATGCTGCACACGGACAACAGCGGGAAAGACAAGAGGAAATGCCACAATGCCCCGACATTCTTGAGACGATCGTAAGCGTTTTTGCCACGGCGACGGGCCCAGCCAGGATTGGTAACCCCCCTCTCCCCGCAGAGCTGCCATCATCGTAAGGGGCGACGAAGACAGCTGCTAGTAAACAGACTAGGCATGCACGATGCTGTCATCAGACCCCTGACACAAGAGCAGAAACCAAAGCTTATTCTTCCTTCTTTCTCCATCAGAAATCTGCATCTTTTGTGAACGAACCATTCGACTCGTCGGTTCGCCTCGTATGATAGTCTGTGGGTCCTGATCTTCGAGCTTCTCTACTACCTAAAACTCCAGCTTGTTCCTCTCCTTGACCTCGTTGAAGAACCGTTTTTAAGGAAAGCTTTGAAAGCGATAGGAAAAGTCGAAACAAACAAAACGTCTAGCATGGAAATCGAAATCCCGGCTATCCATCCAGCAGTAGCTGTTAAGGCGCCAAGAGAGCCTCTCATCCTCATCGATGCCCCGACATATGCACCCGACGCCGGCGAGGTTATTGTTCAGGTAGAATGGACCTCCTCCACGCCCTACCATCTACACCAAGCAGATGGCGGCCTGTTGATAGAGATGTTCCCCCGCATCCTGGGCGACACCTTTGCAGGAACGGTGCTTCTGGTCGGGCCCGGACCGCACCACGTCGACCTCGAAGTCGGAGACAAAGTTCTGGGGTACTCATTCCGAGACGACAAAGACGGCAAAGAAAAGGCCGCTCAAACTCTCATCACTGTCCCCACTTTCTTGCTGGGGAAGATGCCCAAGGGGCTGACGATGCAAGAAGCCGTAACTGTGCCTGACAACATCGTTACCGTCTTCCAGGCCGCCGTCGATCTCGGACTGCCGCTCCCGTGGCCTATCCCGGAAGGGTGGACACCCCCGGAAGCGGATGCGCCGATCTTGTTGTGGGGCGGATCCGGGTCAGTAGGTATGTACTCCATCGAGGTGTTCCGGCACTGGGGGTACAGGAATCTCATCGTGGTTGCGAGCGGGAAACATCACGAGTACCTCACCTCGCTAGGTGCAACGGCCTGCTTCGACTATCGAGATAAGCACGTTGTCCAGAGCATCCAGGAGCATCTAGGCCCCAAGGGCGTCCCCTACATTATCGACTGCATTGGACACTTGTCAGGATCTCTCGGACCTATTACTCACCTGGCGGATCGAGGCACCAAGGTTGCGGTTATGCTCCCTGTCGTTATCAAAGATCCGACAGAGATTGAAGCCCCTGTATACCAAATGACGGAGCCTGCAGAAGGGCAATGGAAAGAAGGCGTCGTTGTGAAAGGTGTCCGAACACATTTCTATCTCAAGGTAATTTATACTACCCTTGAAAGATGTTTGGAAACGTTGCATGCTGACTCAAGTTTGACGTAGAATCAACTTTTCAAGGATAAGATGCAATGTGAGATAATACCATCGTTGCTGGAGCAAAAGGTAGTGAGGCCAAACCCGCAAAGAATAGTCGAGGGAGACACATTATTGGAGCGGGCTCAAGATGCCATTGTGCTCCTGCGGAACAAGGCTGTGAGTGGCGAGAGACTTGTCTGGAGAGTGTCAGAGAACGAAGCCGTTGTTTAATAATGTTCATCAAAAAGTGGTAGTTTTACTCGATTAACACAAAAAGCTCACACAAGGTCTGCCATCATTGCCAAACCCATCTAAAGAGGAACAAGAGTGGCATTCTACACATCAATATGGTTTCTGATGCATCTTATTAAGTATTCTTACAATCGTCAACGGCAATGTTTCGCAATATTGGGGAGTCCGAAGCTACTAGAATTTACTTCGCATGTTGACAGCGGCAGCACTAAATGGAGTTTGGGGAGGAGACCGGGATGAGAGCGGATTGCCATCAGGCAGACGGAGGTCCAATGGGAAGAAGTGCGTATCCTCATGACTTCAGAACGGCATCTGAATCCACCGGAAGCTGGAGTTACACCATCCCGGCGGCCGAGAGCGCGTTGTTGCTCATCGGTATCAATTCTAGAGATTTTCTCACTTAAACCGGCGATGCCCAACTTGGTGGTTCGTTCCGACGAAAAGCGAACTGCGGAACTTACATTTGAGCATTTGGATACACGCAACATGGCTTCGTAGGTAATGAATTGCTACTTCTCAGAATTTTGAAGTCTGTATAATATCCGTGGCAACAATTCCAGCCGGTTGGTCTCCGCTACCTACCTATTGTCGCAATCACCGTCTTCCGCGCCGCTTCCCCCAACGTTCATTCCGATCTTTGGATCCAACCCGACTACGAAAATGGCCGCCCCAACTACCAACACCATCACTGTCACCCTTCAGCAGGTTGCCAAGATGATTGATCACTCACTACTTCATCCTACTATGACCGACGCCGATATTCTAGAAGGCGTGCGCATTGCAAAGAAGCACGGCGTTGCCACGGCATGCGTGAAGCCGTACCTCATTCCGCTCGCCAGAGAAGAGCTCCAGGGCAGTGGCGTGCTTCTCTGCCCTGTCATCGGCTTCCCGCACGGTAACAGTACCACCGAAGTCAAGATCTTTGAAGCCAACCAGGCGGCTGTCACGGGTGGCAAAGAGATTGACATGGTCGTCAACATCGGCGAAGTCCTCGGAGGCGAGTGGGCCTATGTTGCTGAAGAAATTCGGCAAATCAACCATGTCGTCGTCAAGCATGGCGCAATACTCAAAGTAATTTTTGAGAATGACTATCTCGAAGAGAAGCATATTATTCGACTGTGAGAGATCTGTTCCGATGTTGGCGTCGCATTTGTCAAGACCTCGACTGGGTACGGTTTTGTGAAGCAGCCCAATGGCTTGTACACGTACAAAGGAGCCACTGTTCGGCATCTGAAGCTTATGAGGGAGCACTCAAAGCCCGAGGTCCAAGTAAAGGCTGCTGGTGGCATTCGGACGCTGGATGATCTGCTTCACGTCATGTCGCTTGGGGTCACTCGAATTGGCGCCACTGCCACCGTTGCAATTATAGAGGCTGCGATTGCGCGTGGAATCACGGATCAGCCGACTGAGGTGGAGTTTAAGCCCATCAGCGGGCCATCGACGGGAGGTTACTGAGTCACGCGAAAGTGTAGCGACTTTTTCCATCAGATGTAAAAACGAATGTAGGTTAGATACATAAGTATGTGTGCAGCAACATTTCTTTCACATTATTTTGAAGAACGTCCTCATCAATCAAATCCCTACGCCGACACCCTGCCACAACTAGTCGACTGTTGGGAAATGGCCTGTAGTCCAAGAGCCCGTCCACGTATCTAGAACAGTGTACACCTTGACTACCATCCTTTCCTCTTCGAAGTTACAGGTGAAAGGCTCGATGCCACAGATTAATCATTTTAGTTAGTTTCTTGCATTTGCTGAGGTGGAAATGCTCACTGGACCTATTCGGAGCAGCGTTGTGATCAGATGCTCGACCGGAACGAATTACCGTAAATGGCCTAGCGTATGACCAACTTTAGTCTTTCATTCCGGTGGAACTTTCTGTTCTCCCAAGTACAACCTCCAACTCACATCTACACCTCAATAACAATTTGTTAATCGGATTGAGCCAATTTACATCTATGAACAGGTCGGAGGATCCCATATCCATGGATCCAAAGAGACCGAGGCGAAAAGTTGCAGCTGCATGTCAACGCTGTCGAAAACAGAAATTGAAGGCAGGCTACCCATTCATGCCGTCCAAACCCCTTTGCTTCGGCAATATTGCCTGTCATCGTCTGACAAGCTCGAACAGTGTGATACCCAGCGTCCATGTACTCTGTGTATCAGAGCCGGAGTGGATTGCATCAATGAAACTCCTAGCATGTGGAGGGTCCAGGGGCCCAACATTACCCCGTCACGGACTCGGAAGGGAGACAGGATGCCGGCCGCCGGCAGGTCTCGTCAGGCGAGACAAGACCGTCGAGCAACCGTAACGGCTTCCGGAACGGAGGAAGCTACCGAGCCAAGTATCTCTCCCGTCACGGGTGCTACCATGCATCCCTTGATATTCTCATCGGAGCGTCTATCCGTTCATGATGAATCAAGTCCCATACCTCGGGCCTCGTCGGAGCAGGTTACTTCTGATAGACCATGGTCAACGAACTCGGCCGCAGTCAGCTTCCTAGACGAGGTAAGTATTATCAAAGATCACTGCTACTATGGAAGTTTTACATCTGACTCGGGTTCTGAGCAAGGCATTTCAACACCACGACATACACACACCGGAAGAGGCAGACACTTCAGCCTTCGCAGCTACAGAGTGGACCTCGCGAGGTACCCACGAAGGCACCAGAGAAGCCGGTATTTCCATCCAGTCATTACCTCGACCTCTTCCCCAGCAGCGGATCCGATCGATCTCACGGCACCACGGCGACATGAGCTCAGCCCAGAGAGACTTTCTTTCCGTCTTGCCAGCACAAGCTCCTGTGGCATTGCTTGTCAACATTTATTTCGAGAAGATCCATTGGTTCATGATGATATTCTTCACAAGCGAGTTTCGAGCCCGAGTTCAAGAACTTCACACGACTACATCACAGGGTTCTCCGCCGAGAAAAGCCAATCCGGGCCTTCTTGGCCTTGTACTTGCTGTGTGTTTGACTAGTCTCCGCTATGCGAGCCCCGAGAAGCACTCTCAACTTATTGAACTTGGCGTGGATCCAGATTCATTGCAAGAAAACATATTGGCCACGTTGAAGGTGAGGTTTCTCGACGTCGTCTCCTTGGGATCCATCGAGGCTGTGCAGATGTGTATCCTGTTAGGAAGTTTCTACCTTTATCATGGGGAACCCGAGCTAGCCTGGCCCATTTGCGGAAGCGGTCTGCGTATTGCTCAAGCTCTCAAACTTCATCAACGACACAAAGATGAGGATCAACCCTTGACCGTACCCGATGTTGACAACCCAGTCCACAGGGCAGCTGAGACACGCAAACGATGCTGGTGGGCCATCTACGAGATTGAGACCTTTTGCTCGATGCTGTATGGTTTTCCTCTCAGCATAGTAGACGAGGATTGCAATATCGAAGTACCCGAACAATATCCTCTGCGATCTAAAGATGCGAGTTGGGAGTCCATTAGATGGAAATCTACCGGAAAAGCCACTGTACTCTCATACAAGGTGTCGATGGCGCAGCTGTCGATCATTGTGAAAAGGGCGCTTTCGGAGCTTTATGGAAACCGGAAGCAGCCCAGTAGTAATGAGCTTGGTGCAAGAACCGAAGGGCCGTTAGTTCAACGTCTCATAAACACTGTCACTAGCCTGGACCAACAGATCCGTGAGTGGCACGACCATCTTCCGCAAGAGTTGATCTTCAAAGAAGATGAGGTTGCGACCGCGGCTAACTGGCCCGGAGGCACTAATCATTCTCTGAGTCCAGAACATCATCAGCACACTTTCCGCATCCAGGGACTAGCACTCAAACTCGCCTATGAAAACGCTAGAATCTTGGTCCACAGGCCCTTACTAGCCTACAGAGCGATGAAGAAGATCAACACGACGGAGGGTTCAGATTTCCGTTCAATCGGAGATAATGATCCGCTACAGGGCTCGGTGCGAAGTTGCCGAGACGCGGCCTTGCAGATTGCCAATATTGGCTGCACGCCGCACTTCAAAGAGGTGATTGACACTTACGCGCTGTCGTTTGTCGCGCTGCATCTCTTCACTGCAGGTGTTACCCTCTCCATCATGACGGGACTGGACCCATTGAGCCGGGAAGCCTATGACTCAAAAATGGGCCTTCGAAAGTTGATGGAGATGCATTCTCAACTCAAGTCCAAGTCCGTTGTTGCTGAACAGGGTCTGAACATTCTCACGAAACTGATGAAGCTCGTCATGACTAAGGAGATGGAGAGAATGCTTCACTTGGATGTTCCCCCGCAACCGGAACCAGACCAAATTGGAGAAGACGATGAAACGAGTGGTAGCTCGAATGCTGTTGAAGCTACTGCCCAGGGCACCGAAACAAACGCCATAGACTCAAGCAGCAACATCAATCAGACTACACTACGGCAAAGCACACCGGCGGCTGAAATGGTGGAGGATGCTACGGCGAGCTTGAGCTTCAGCGAGGACCCGATCATAACACAAGCGCTCTCGGAGTTCGAGCAGAGTAAGACAAACTCCCCCAATGACAGTTCTTAGCTAACATTAGTACTAGTCATGATGTATGATATTAATGGTGTCGGGGAGGGAGACCCGGTGGAGTTCAGCGAGTACCTAATTGAAAGTTGTTTCGGGAGACAGGATCAGGGATGGATATGGAATCAAGGACACTCGTTTGCGAGCTAGCCATTAACTTGGATCAATCTCTCGGGTATAACTGAGTTTTCTGGCTTGTCCTGGTTTGAATGAATTCTGCCGGTTGTTCACTAGGTTTGGTTTCCTAGAGGATCGCGGGGTTCATCTCCCCACCGGAGCTCAAACCTGCCTTTGCTCCGGCGGGGTAGCGTGAATACCTATCGAACCTGGCCAACCTAGTGATTTTTCATGCACAGAGCGTGGCATTAGCTTCAGTAGCCCCGCGGGCCCGTTTGCTTGACGACACTTCCGGTGGAGAAGCTTCGAGGAACTGGGTCACCATGATGATAGCTATTCCTGTCGCTGGTGATCATGCGCCGGCATTAAGTCCGTTGGAGAGGAGAACTCCCGATGGGTTTCCGGATGGAACAATGGGTCGAAGCTTGTGAGTAGGTCCTTATCTCAGGCTTTCCACTTGCCTTGTAGCATTGGTGCTCTGTGTTTATACCAGTTCTTTATCAACTATTGCCCGTACTTCTAGGGTGAAATCGACTCCAATACTGCCATCTCATCGGAAATCAGTCGCAATATTCGCCATGATTCACCAAAAAGACGGCCTTTTGATCTATCAGTATGATGGGGAGCAAGTATGGATCCAGCCATGGGGTCCAGATGCCTTCCGAGTCCGAGCCACCAAGGCCCATGTGATGCCCGGTGAGGCATGGGCCTTGGAAGAGGAGCCAGAAGACGTCAAATCAGACATCTCACTAGCCGAAGACGGCTCAGCTACCATACACAACGGGAAGGCAAAGGCAGTCGTTAGCAAGCGGGGGAAGATCACCGTCTACAATGCCGACGATGTCGTCGTCCTCGAAGAGTACGCTCGGAACCGTCGCGACCTGCTCGATGCCAAATGCAGCGCCATTGAGGTCGAGGCCCGCGAGTTCAAACCTCTTCGGGGCGGCGACTATCACCTCACAATGCGCCTAGAGAGTCAGAGACCCGACGAAAAGATCTTTGGGATGGGCCAGTATCAGCAACCCTTCCTGGATCTCAAGGGCCTCGACCTCGAGCTAGCACACCGCAACTCGCAGGCCAGTGTGCCTTTTGCGTTGTCTTCTCTAGGCTACGGCATTCTTTGGAACAATCCTTCCATCGGCCGCGTTGTGTTTGGAAAGAATACGACTGCTTTTGAGGCGTATTCTACCAACATTCTGGATTACTGGGTGGTGGTCGGTGATACGCCCGCCGATATCGTGCAGCGTTACGCAAGTGTGACTGGCAAAGCTCCCACGATGCCAGAGCACGGCCTTGGCTTCTGGCAGTGCAAACTCCGGTACGAGAACCAAGAGGAGCTTCTCGAGGTCGCTCGAGAATACCGCCGTCGGGAGCTTCCCCTTGATCTCATTGTCATCGACTTCTTCCACTGGCCATTGCAAGGCGAGTGGAAGTTTGACCCTCAGTATTGGCCCGATCCAGGTAAGAGCAGCTTGTTGATCAACCACGTCTGCAACAGCAACTAATTCGAACTCTAGATGCCATGATACAGGAGCTCCGTGAGTTGAAGGTCGAGCTCATGGTCTCAATCTGGCCGACAGTGGATCAGAGATCGTCAAACTTCCAAGAGATGCTCGAGCAAGGATTCCTCGTCCGCACCGAGAGAGGTGTCCGAACCAACTTTGAGTTCGAAGGCTCTACCGTATACTACGATCCCACCAACCCGGGGGCTCGTGAGTACGTCTGGAACAAGGCCAAGCAGAACTATTTCTCAAAGGGGATCAAGACGTTTTGGCTTGACCAAGCCGAGCCAGAGTATTCCGTGTACGACTTTGAAAACTACCGCTACTTCCTTGGCCCGAACCTTTCCGTTGGTAACATCTATCCCAAAGAGTACGCCAGAACGTTTTTCGAAGGTCAGAAGGAGGCCGGCCAGAAGAACATCGTCAACTTGCTCCGCTGCGCGTGGGCCGGTAGCCAAAAGTATGGCGCGCTCGTCTGGAGCGGCGATATCGCGTCCTCATGGGGCAGCTTCCGCAACCAACTGGCGGCTGGACTGAACATGGGCATCGCGGGATTGCCTTGGTGGACAACCGACATTGGAGGGTTCCACGGCGGCAACCCCGAAGACGAGGCATTCCGTGAGCTCTTTGTGCGGTGGTTCCAATGGGGTGCGTTCTGCCCCGTGATGAGACTGCACGGAGACCGAGAGCCGAAGCCTGGAGGCTTGGCTTCGAGCAGTGGAGCGGCCAACGAGGTCTGGTCTTATGGCCCGGCAGTGTATGACATCTGCCAGAAGTATCTCTTCATCCGCGAGAAGTTAAGAGACTATACGCGAAGACTGATGGCTGAGGCCCACGAGCATGGGTCGCCTGTGATCCGATCGCTGTTTTACGAGTTTCCAGGAGATGAGAGGTGCTGGCAGCTTGGGGCTGAGCAGTACATGTATGGCGATGCCTACCTTTGCTGCCCTGTTGTCAATCCCGGTATCACAAAAGCCAAGGTCTATCTGCCGAACTTGAGTGGTGGTGAGGGATGGACAACTCTTCCTCACGAGGGTTCTGAGGAGCAGAACTTCGAGGGCGGGCAGGAGATTGAGATTGAGTGCCCTCTGGACTGGATGCCAGTGTTTGTTAGAAAGTCAAAGGCAGAAGTTGTTCTGCAGAAGTCAGATTAGGATACATCTCTCTAGTTGAACTCTTAGGATGATGGAGACTGTACTTAGAACTGACATGGACAATATACAACGTCACATTCGGGGCTGTCCTCCGCTTGGCTACCACGCTTTGGGCGAGTTACAGCGGAATGGTGAGAGAAACGGCACAAGCTACAGGGGTCATATGCCGCTCAAATGAACGGTGTTCCTCCTTACCCCGCGTGCGGCTAGTCACCCCGGAACTCATCTCATCTCGCGTTCCTCGGGGTAAACACGCCACTGAGCCCAATTACCTTTAGTGCATGCTCCCCGCCTTGTTTTCAAATAACACGAGACTAATCAGCAGTGTCTTTGAAGCCCATTCCATTTCTCTTCACATCTCGTTCAGAGATTCAGCATGAAACGCTCACTTGGTGAACAAGACACTGTGTCTACTTCAGGAATGAGATGACAGCATAATGGCAGAGACAGGACAGGCCGGCAACGAGCGGACAGACTCCGCGTCCGAGAGTGAGGACGTCATAGCCGTCGCGAATCCAACCGCTGATGGCCCAGTCTTCAAATGCGATTACTGTGGGAGCACCTTTGGGCGCCAGGAGCATCTCACTCGGCATAAGCGATCGCACACCAGGGAAAAACCATTCTCATGCTCGGCATGCGGCAAGAGTTTCTCTCGATTGTAAGTTCTCATTATGCACTCACTGGTCTCATGTACTGATGCAATTATAGGGATGTCCTCACTCGTCATGCGGCCTCTCATGATGAGGTCGCAAGCGAGTCTCGGCGGCCCGCGGCATCTTCCAGAGCCTGTCAGGCATGCGCTGTAAGCCGTTCACGATGCTCAAAGGAAAACCCCTGTCGTCGCTGTACGGGTAAAGGTCTCGAGTGCAAATACCCAGCTGCCCGCCGCCGAGGTGCTCGTACAATATTGCGCTCTCCGGATGAGAATGCTGCTCCCGGAGACAGACGCGATAGTCATGGAGAGCTCATCGAGTACTCCGACCCAGCGCAAGTTCCACAACCTCCAGGGATGACCGAGATACCATTCCCAACCCCAAATCATGCACCAGCAAGGCGCGCAGTCGAAACCTCATGGACTCTTCCACAAGTCACAGGAGACAACGGTCAAAATTTTCAAGTGAATAACTGCGAAGTAGGTTATGGGATGAATCCCATGGACAACTTTATTCACAACGAAGAATTTCCCGAGCAATCTGCAGGTATTTCGGCCATCAATTGGCTCTCTCCTCAGTACTACTCAGACTTTGATTGGGGCATCGTGTCTTCTGTAAACGACAGAGAAGCTTTTTCGGCCAACCTAGATGGCGTGCAAACAGTCATGAATGCCTACGAGGCCGTACGACAAGGGCCTTGGCTGAACCTCCTCAACAGTCAGCCAGTCCAGACTTCGAACGCCGCACTTCCGCCAGCATCAGCACGACAGCTCAATCCACCAGGAACAACGCCCAGGAGTAGACCGAACGGAAGCACGACTGGATCCATAGAGTCATCATCCACCACAGCGACTTACTATGTCGATGGTGCTCCATCTAGAGCACCTTTCAAGGGCCGTCCGTCACAAAGAAGTCTTGTCTTAGATAACGCAGCGCGTCCTGATGATGACACTCCGACTCCCAGTACAGCAGCCCCGGGCACCTCCACCAAGGACGCTGATGAAGGGACAGGGCTTGATTTATCTGTACAGGCCTACGACAACCTTCTGCAACATATCGGCATGGAACCTTTTCTGCAAGACCGCAGCGTGACACCACCTCCATCAATAGCACACGTTCGAGTTTATTTCCGATTGTACTTTCAACATTTCCACCCTGCTTATAACTTCCTGCAAAAATCGACCGATTTCTACCAGGAACCAGCAAATTGGCCTCTTCTGTTGGCCGTCTGTGCAATTGGTTCGGTTTACTCCCGAGGCGAGACCAATCTCCGTTTCAGAGACCTGTTTCTTCAACTTTTGGAAAGCACAGTACGATTTTACATCTCAACGAGTGCTTTGGATGATGTGGTAAGCTCTTGCCAAGTGTCACTGGCAAGCACTGGGGAAGATTCCATAGGTCTTGTCATTGCCCAAACTTCTGCTCTCTGGTTGATACACAACTTGCACAACGGTGTTCCCGGCGATCGCTACGATTTGGCATTTCTAGTACGGCACTTCTTGATAAATGCCTGTCGAAAGATGGACCTACTGAGTAAGCGCGAAGACGCGCCACAAGCAGCAGAACTCCCGGATGGATCAAATGCCCATAGGAGATGGCTAGAGAGCGAGTCCAGACTGAGAACCGGTCTCATGATATGGGTACGTGCAAGTCGCCGACTCTGATTCACAGAGACCATAGACTGACGTGTCTTACATGCTAGATTCTCGATGTTATTGTATTCCTGGAGAGAGGACAAGATGTACTACTTAAGCTAGGCGATGCAAAAGGCCAGATGCCGTGCCTTGATTCTGCCTGGGACCAACCTACTGCTAAGAAACTAGGGCAGCAGCAGTCTAAACCAGGTGTGTAACTCTACTATCCATAATAACTATGGCACCACTCAGGCTCACACGTCGAGAACCCTCCAGTGACTACACCTGAGGCCATGGAAATGCTTTACATGGAGAAGAGACTGCCGCCGAACCTGGGTGACTTCAGCACCATGGTGCTCACGTACGCAATCATCAGGCGGACTAAGGAGGCGATATACCACAATCAGATCAGGCTCAACTCGTGGACGCCCACAGCCGATGTTCAGAAGTGCGGTCCCGGTGATACCGTCGAGGAGACTTGGCCCCCTTCACTGCCTATCCTATCAAGATGGCGGAACAGCGCCTGCGACTCTCTCGACCTCCTCCACTGGAACGCTAACGCGATCATCGCCAAAGCCGGTGGATGGGAGCATCCCGTCATCTTACATCTCCACCTCTCTCGCCTCGTCCTTCTCGCTCCAATAATACACCTACAGACTCTCGCCGCTGCCGCCTCAGCGCGAGCATCCTCCCGCAACGTCGATAACTCCAAAGTTGAAAAAGCAAGATCTCTCGTTGCACAGTGGGCTCTACGCGATCAGTACAAGGCCAGACTGTCGGTTGTCCATGCCGGCGCAATGCTTTGGCACATCCGTCGCTACAGTGTTGGCAACTTTCTTGAGCCTTTTGGTATCTTCGCAGCGACATTGGTGGTCTGGGCGTACAGTACGATGATGCTGTTCATGAGGCGGCACCAGAACCCGAGCTCTCACTTGGCTAGTGACGGCCCTGGACAGCAAGATAGCCCGATGGAGGCAGTGGCGGAAGTTGAAGAGGACCCGGAGCCCAGCTTCCTCCACCTCGACCGGCCATGTGACGATGAGATGGTGCAGACTTATGTCAGGCTAGGCCACAAGATGGCGGGCCACATGGCCAAGGTAGGTGATATCTGCAATGACGGGGCCCCTCGGAAGATTCTCAAGGAAGGGATGCAGATGCTGAAGGGAAGACCGGAGCAGAACGGAGACGCAGCAAGTAGCGTCGGGAGCGGAGGGACAAGCGAGAATGGCAGGGGGCACTCGGTCTGGGGAGTGGAACGAACATACGCTGATCTCCTGGACTCGCTCATTCAGTCCACCTCGGACTAGGTTATCCCTCCTCGAGAGTGAGCGATGGACTCTCCACCGGAGCTGGCAGCCCGGTATAGCCATGGATTGGGTGGGCATCTTAGTGAGAAGTTAGAAAACTCCGGCGGGGGTGGAGACATCATGCCACAAATGGCAAAGACAATTACCCAAACAAGCCATCAGATGGCACGACGTCCTCTTTGTGCCGGGAAGACTAATCACCACAAACTCTTTCTCCGCATGTTACCCCGGATCTTCGACTGACAACATGCGGGGACAACGTGTGTTCCACGCTGTGGGATACCGTCCCTGCGAAGCTGACAGTGAACGGAAACAATATCCTTCTGGCGTTACATGCGCCTCTATATCATGTCTAGATTCTCCACCATCTCCGAACCTCGCTTGTCGATCATCTTCACGACGACGCTGATACTTACGCTGTAACACGTTGCTGAAAGTTCGAAGCTATCACCAACTCTCCTTGTCTGCCATCTACCTTTGATTTCAGAGTCCAAGTCATTCATCAGCCGCCACAATGGGCAACGCCAAAGACGAGCCGCTCGAGATCGGTCAGCTCGAGCATGCTCCCACCGGGGATTACGCTATTAAAGACTTGGCCATGGCCAAGCAGGCCGCAGACGACGAGCACAAGCTTGGTTTCATGGAGGCTATCCGCCGCTATCCCAAGGCCGCCTTGTGGTCTGTCCTCGTCTCCGCCGCCATCATCATGGAAGGTTACGATATTGTCCTCATCTCGTCTTTCTTTGCTCAGCCCGCTTTCAAACGACACTACGGCGAATACCTCCCCAGCAAGGGAACATACGAAATTACGGCATCCTGGCAGAATGGCTTGAGCAATGCAGTCAGTGTCGGTACAATCATTGGCGCTTTCGCGAACGGATACTTCACCCATCGCTTCGGCTACCGAAAGGTTCTTCTCGCATCCCTGGCTAGCATCGTCGCCTTTATCTTCATCTCCTTCTTTTCACCGAATCTCCCCGTGCTCCTCGTCGGCCAATTCCTCTGCGGCATTCCCTGGGGCGTCTTCGCGACAACTGCTCCTGCTTACGCCTCCGAAGTCTGCCCGATGGCATTGCGTGGCTACCTCACCGTCTTCGTCAATCTCTGCTGGGCCCTCGGCCAACTGATTTCAGCCGGTGTTCAGGCAGGCTTCTCCGATGGCAGCAACCAGTGGTCCTACCGGGTACCGTTTGCGATTCAATGGGTCTGGCCGCTTCCGCTGTTCGCGGTCTTGTGGTTCGCGCCCGAGTCCCCCTGGCATTTCGTCCGCCTCGGCGACTACGAGCAAGCCGAGAAGTCCGTCCTCCGTCTCGGATCTGCGTCCGAAGCCGTCAACTCAAAGCAAAAAGTGGCCATGATGATTCATACCAACGAGATTGAGCAGCAGATGGACGAAGGAACATCGTATCTCGATTGCTTCCGGGGCGTTGACCTCCGGAGAACCGAGATCGCCTGCATGGCTTTCGCTGCTCAGCCTTTCTGCGGCTCTGCCATGGGAGGTACTCCCACCTACTTCTTCGTCCAAGCCGGTTTGCCGGAATCGATCTCGTTCCGCATGTCAGTCGGTGGCCTCGGGATTGCCTCTGTCGGCACAATTGTATCATGGGGACTTCTTGGCCGCTTCGGTCGTCGCACGCTGTACCTATGGGGCCTTGGAGCGTTGGCTCTGATCCTCCTCCTCGTCGGTGCCATCAGCGCCGGTGCCCCTAACTCGGATGGTGCGAACTATGCTCAGGCTGGTATGATGTTGGGTTGGCTCGGTGTCTACTATCTCACTGTCGGACCTATCTGTTACGCAATCATCTCCGAGGTTTCTTCAACTCGTCTCCGCAACAAGAGCGTCTGCCTCAGCCGCATTGCCTACTACATTGCTCAGATTGTATGTAATGTCATCAACCCATACATGCTCAACCCAACAGCCGAGGACTGGAGAGGAAAGACGGGATTCTTTTGGGGAGGTTGCGCCTTTGTCTTCTTCATTTGGACTTTCTTCCGCCTCCCTGAGACAAAGGACAAGACCTTTGAGGAATTAGACATTCTCTTTGCAAGGCGCGTCAAGGCATCCAAGTTCGCCTCTTACAGGGTCGATGCTTATGCCAGTGGCGACGAAGTTCTGGCCAAAGAAGGCTGAATTCTTGCCCACGCCACTGGTTTCGCCCTTCTACAGTAGGATATTTTGAGTCATACCTTCGTTAAGAATCTTTACTATCGTAGTGGGACCTAATACATGTTGTTACTATTGCGTCTTTGCTTGAGAGCCTTGTTTTATATAAATCACCGAATCATCAACTGGCCATAAGCCAAATTATTTTGCAATTATGAGATCGCTGGAGTGATAAATTATGCATCAAATAACTGTAATCGGGAGCTCAAGTTCCTTCCTTTTTGCCTCTGGAGTTCAGTACCGTAGTCATACCGTGTTGTTACTTCAAATCTTTTCCTTCGTACAAACAGCACTCAAGCCATCTGCTTAGTACCACTTCTGCAAGTTGATATATAAGCTAGATGGGAGCTCTAGATGCTTCAGATCATGAACTTGAAAACCCCTAGCATCGGGTTCCAAATGTGAAGCTCCGTAATCATCCCGTAGGTGTGCGGTAAATGATGATCTGCATTCTTGATGGTGGCAAGTGAAAAGTCGGCCTCAAACGCGACGCGTCTTCCGGGCTGGGCTTTTCTTTTCTTCCGTGATGCTATTGTGAACCCCGCAGAAGTGTCGCAATGCCCGGTGGAGGAGGATCAAGGTCGTGTTCATAGTGGATGTTACCATCCGCTCTTCCCCGCGAATTGTGAACGCGCTCTTGCAGCTTTACCTTGGCATGTGGGGAAATGAGGGATAGTGTCAAACGTTGCTCAAGGTGCGTCGATCTGCCGTGCGCAAATATCTGTCGAGACGTTTACTCCGGTGGGGGGGCTCATACTCGCAATGACTTCTCATCACGACGAGGCATCGCTATGTGAATATAATAGTAGGAAGTTTCGTAAATAAAAATATGAATGAAGACATGCAGTCGATAGCTAATTCTCCCTGACACGTCACCATTCAACCGTTTCATCATCGACATGTCTTTTCTCAAGGCTTTCTCTGCCATTGCAGCTCTTACAGCTGGCCATGTCACTGGTCTGGCGGTAAGACAATCCCCGGCTGGCACAGCAGCTGTTGACATCGCGAATCCCAGTGGTCCAGCCAGATTTCTCGGTTCCGGCTTCATCTATGGGTTCCCCGATAACGGAAGAGAGATTGACACCTCCATCCCCGACTACTTCGTGACCGACATCAAGTTCCACGCCAGCCGTGCCGGGGGTGCCCAGATCCTGGCTCCCGGTTGGATCGGCGGACTCGACGGGTACCAGCAGCGCTTCGACTCGGCCCTCTCCGACTACCGGACCACGCGCAAGTACGGAGCTGACTTCATCCTCTTGCCCCATGACCTCTGGGGTGCAGACGGCAGCCAGGCTGGAGGATCGATTTTCCCCGGTGACAATGGTAACTGGACAGAAACTGAGCTGTTCCTCCACCGTCTTGTCGATGACATCAAGTCTAATAGTATGCTCGACGGACTTGTCTTTGATATCTGGAATGAGCCTGATCTTGACATCTTCTGGGCTCGATCGTGGGATCAGTACCTGGAGTACTATGTCCGGGCTCACAAGATCATCAGGTTAGACAACCACTCGTTATTTATCATTTCGATGTCAACTAACATAACATTAGAGCCGAACTTCCGGGCACTTTGATCAGCGGACCATCAGCCGCCAACGCCCCAGCTGTTGATTTGGAGAACTGGAAAGCATGGATGACCAAGGTGGCAGCGAACGACGCCATCCCCGACATCTACTCTTGGCATCAGATTGGCGAATGGCAGCGTGAGCCCGATAGAACTGTTGCCGACTTCAAAACTCTTCAAAGCACCTACAACCTCCCAGACCGACCAATTGACTTGAACGAGTACGCCTGGCCATCCGAGCAGAACCCTGCCAACGGCGCCTGGTACCTGGCCCAACTTGAACGCCACAACCTCCGCGGTCTCCGCGCCAATTGGGGCGGCGGCTCTGACCTGCATAACTACATGGCCGACTTGCTGTTCAAGGATGTCAACGGAGCGTACAAGCCCAACGGAGAGTGGCAAGTGTACAAGTACTACGCCCAGATGACCGGCGAGCGCGTCGCTACCACTGCCTCGGCTGATCGGACGTTTGATGTCTTTGCCACGGTTGAGAACAACAGCATCAAGATCCTCGCGGGAACCAGGACCGTTCAGAAGAACTATGAGATCAAGGTCTCTGGACTCAGCAAGCTCGGTCTTCCCAGCGACGGATCCGTCCAAGTCCGCACTCTTCGTTTCGACTGGGCTGGCACCAAGGCTGAGATTGGGGAGCCGGTTGACTTGGGCGTTACCACCATTTCGTCCGCTTCTGACAGCGTAAGTTATCCTTATTCCAGATTGACAGCTTTCATGCGTGAAAGTGATGCTAATGTTTCGTTTTACAGCTTACTATCCTGGTCGAGCCACCTACCAACTCCACCGCGTTCGCTTTTGAGCTCTTCTAAGCTTGAGAGAGGCTCTTAACAGCCTACTCAGTAAATGAATCTGGTCCACTGAATGTTCTCAAGGCAACAAAAGGACAGACCCGAACATATGTATCCTTCTCTGTAGATAGATCCATCTTATCGTGCTAGTATATAACCAAGAATTTTCCAACCGCCTAACAGCAAGCAGGCATTCTGAAATTTCATATCATTAGACTCACCTATGTCAGCTAATGCAAGTTAAGTGTCAATGGTCAAGTGACAGTAATTACCAAAAGCAAGGAACTTCAGGCCTGGTATTCCGAATTGTGTCAAGTAGACCTACATGTTAAATTTGGCCCATCATTGCATGTAATCACTCTAACATTGAGGCAAAACATTGACAAAAAACGAAGGTGGTATTCAATTACTATGGGTATTTCCTAAACTTCCTACAACTCAAACACGGCACATTCTTCCATTGTCAGCA